CGATTACACTAAACTTAAAGTAATGACTTTTTGCTGGTCACTTTGAGTATTGTAAGCTGGTATGTTAGAAAGTAGAGAAATGAGTTATAATACTGGCATGGGTAATAAATTCATATTGTTATGAGGAGCTTGGTATGGTGTTGCATAAAAGGACCTATAAGTATGCCTAGAACTCAGGTTTCACTAGGAAATCTTTTGGTGTTTTCATGCTCTGTGACACTCTTGAATGTACTTGATGGAACCACTACCTGTCAAAGATCAAGAAAAACAAAGTCTCAGACCCTTTTGGGATGAAAGTCTGGATCACTGTATCAGGTCAGCACCCTAGACTAGCTGAAGAATTGACTAGAAATGAGGGGGAACCTAGAAAGGGTTGTGGGGTAGGGAGATAACGAAGATCAGTCAACCAATGAAATCAGTTACAGACACAGGACCAGTTGTAGTAGCACACTGAAAATTCAGTCACAGAGTAGACATAATGGGGCACAAATGATCTCAACGGTAAGGGTTTTGCTGTTTCAGATGTTTATTGTGTTCTGAATCACATCTTCTCTGCTTTAGCTTTGATTTTTACTGCATCCGTGTGGAGAGTTCCATCTAGCACAACAAAAAAATAAAAATAAACAAGATAAAAGTCAATTTTACTATGAATTGTGATGCAGATATCATAAAGTATTTGAAAACTATTATAAAAATCATTCTACATTATCAGATGGAATTAATTCAAGAAATATAAGGTTAGATTAATAATAGATAATACCAAGTAAAAATATTGGGTTGTAAAATTCATAGAAAACAAATAAATACCTTCTTTAATATCTCTAAAATAATTAAGGGAAAAGATAAGAAGAAAAAGAGGGTAAAGAGAAATGAACTGAGAATTCACAGAGAAAGAAATAAAAATAGATGTTATACATATGAAAATATTTTGGGCTTCACATATATTTATATATATATAATATATATATTATTTATTACTATATTAATTACCAATTAAATTGTCAAATATTAAAATGATTAATAATAAGCTTGTCAAGATTCTGGGAAAACAGTTGTCACATACTATTGATATTTTTGTAAATTGTTGCCTCTTTTTTTTTTTTGGTGAGGAAGATTGTCCCTGAGCTACCATCTGTTGTCAATCCTCTTTTTGCTTGAGGAAGATTGTCCCTGAGCTAACATCTGTGCCAATATTCCCCCATTCTGTATGTGGGATACCACCCAGGTACACAATCAGCATGGCTTGATGAGCAGTGTGTAGGTCCATGCCTGGGATTCAAACCTATGAACTTCAGGCCACCAAAGCAGAGCACGCAAACTTAACCACTACACCACCATGCTGGCCCCAAATTGTTGCAGTTTTTGAAGGCTATTTGCAAATATGTTATAAAACAAATTCACATTACTTCTGATTAAACAGTTCCATTTGTAGGAAGATATCTTGTATAATCACAAGGTTGTAGAAGGCAGAATCAGTATGAAGGAGTGCTATGCAGAATTGCTTGCCATTGTATACAAACTAAAACATCAATGTCTACCAGTAGGATACAGCTTCAAATGAAATCTCACATCTATATGATAGAATTATTTTTAACTATTCAAATATGAGATCAAGTAATATGTCCTAACAGAGGAAAAGCTTTCCAATATATATTGTTAAGTGAAAAAGAAAGTTTCATGATAGTACAACCACACTTACACCTATGTATATGTAGACCATTTTTAGTAAAACATATTAGATACAGTTAATAGTGATTATTTCTGGAGACTGAGGAAGAAGCTTGGATGCTGGGAGGGGTCTATTTTCACTCTATAGCCTTCTGATCCATTTGAATGTTATAATTTAACCCATATTACTTTTATTATAAAATTTATTTTAATATGTATACATGTCCCAAAAAATCATACAAAAATATCATTAGAAAGGATCTCAAATAATAATTAGACTCTATTATGCCCAGGGCAACATACGACTATGTAGAAACACCTAGAGTTCTCAGAGTGCAATTAATAGATGTGTAATAATCTGATATGAGATACAGGTTGGTGGGCCTACAAATAGGATAAAGTAATGAGGAAATGCTGACCTTGAGCAAGTCTAGCACAGAAATCACATGTCAGGGAAGGAGATTTTTATATAATCCTGGAAGTTGAGTTGGAGTTAATAGGAAACAGAAAGAGTTGTGAGAATGATTTGGCTAATACAGCTGAGTCACAGCTTTCTCATTTGGGAAGATGATTGGGTGCAATTACCTATTTATAATTTAGTTGCTAACGTTGACCGAGATGTTAAGTTCAAATATTAACCCTGTAGCTTACAAATTTTGGCTTTACCTTAAAAGACAAGTTAAGCCCTTTACAATATATGTTTACAGGCTAAAATGACCCATAAAATTAAGAAATGTATTTAAAAGTAATTAAACTATTAGGTGTGGAAGAGCATACGTTCCAGATAAATGGTTGCACGTTTGTCATTGACTTTTGCGCAGACATTTGTCCACATGAGCAGTAACAGTTTAATAAGGCAAAGCCAGGTTTCTTCACTCGGAATACTTCCTTTCTGCTTGACATAAGGCTCGGCTTCTAGGGAGTTCAGGTAGACAAGACAACCTCCAGGTTTCCTTTCTGCCCTCTGTTTCTAAAATTGTCTTGTTTCCAAGAAATATTTCATTGATCAGTAAGTCACATATAAAATAGCCTCAGGAACAGTCAATATATTTGTTTCTGTTCATATATTTCTGTTCATATATTTCATATATTTCTGTTAAGAGAGGCTAATTTTGTTAGTACATTTTCCAGTTACATTTCCATTTTTTAATTGGATTAGAAAATCACCCCACAGGCTGTTCTAAAGGGGATACTTTCAAAATCAATAATCATGTATATTGTATATGTTCCATTCTATTATTACGATTTCCTCACAATAAAGTTGAGGCACCCGTAGCTAGGGGTTTTTTTTTTTTTTCCATTTTACTATCTGAAGAATCTTTTCTGTTCACACCTTGAAGGTCAACAGTGCCAATTTATTCGCCCTGACATCAGAAATGTGAATGTAATGATTATTCACTTTTCAATTGAAAATGCATAACCGTCTACTCAAATCTACATTATTGGGTAAATCTTTTCCCCAAGATGGAAACTTCAAAGTTACATTCTACTTAGATTAACGGACAGCAGCTCACTTATTATTTAACCAGGGAGAGAGATCTCAAAGATAACAGTGCTATTTGGGATTAACAGCAAATTCAGCACAAATCGGAACACAGTCTGAAAAATATCTTTGTAAGCATTTTCTGGAAAAAAATGAAATAGAGCCAATCAGCTCTAATTAAAGGATATTAAATTAAATATTAGTTAAATTATTCTTTACTCAGAAATTTCTGATTTAGCTTGCTTTCATTCTTTTTCGGTTTTCTGAATATTGGGCCAGAACAAACTTTGGGTCAATTTATAGAGCTCTATAGTGCCTATATTTATGGATATCAAACATGAATTATCAGAAGAATTGTGTTTAATAAACAAGTAGCTGTTTTGTAATTCATATATACAGATAATCTCTGATGATTCTTCCATGATAGTTATTACATATAATCATAACATGTTCTTAAAACGTTACAGTGAGGTAGCTTTGGGTAAGACACACATTTTGATTACAAATTATATATAATTTAGTTTACAGAAAATTGTAATATTATCTTCTGAGTTTTAGAAATAGGCTCCCATTCCCAATTATTTGAAAACTAACTCTAGAGTAATATTTTGATATTTTTTGGTATTTTGATTCACTTTAGAACATGTAAAATATCCTCTATTAGGAGAGAACAATAAATTTCCGTGGTCCATCTAACATACTCTTCAACAATATTTTATGGGTCACTTGTTTCTGCTGTCATTTTGTGTGTGGCACACTTACGAATAACTTTGGGTTTAAATTAACATATGGAACCTGATAACACTGTAATGAAGTATAACTGAGGTGCTGTGATGTGTGGATAGATTTCCACATGATTATTCTTAGCTCCAAGGCTGGTATTTTCACTCTAAGGCACTTTGTCAATCCTAAGAGTATTTTTTGTAGTGTCTTTAGGGTTTTCTATACCATGTCATTGGCAAAGAGAGGTAACTTTACTTTTTCCTTTCGAAGTTGGACGCTTTTTATTGCCAAATCTCTTTGACTAAGAATTCTAGTACTGTGTCAAATGAAATTGCTGAGAGTGGGCATTCTTGCCTTGTTCCTGATTTTGGAGGGAAAGACTTTCAGTTTTTCACCATTGAGTATGATGTTAGCTCTGGGCTTTTATCATGTTGAAGTAAACTCCTTCTATAACAAGTTTCTTGAGAGTATTTATTATGAAAAGATGTTGAATTTTGTAAAATACTTTTTATGCATCTATTGAGATGATCTTATGCTATTTATCCTTCTTCCTGTTAATGTGGTGTACCACTTTAATTGATTTCTGAACCATCTTTACCTCTCAGGTATAAATCCCATTAGATCATGCTATATGATCTTCTTAAAATTCTGCTGAATTCAGTTTGCTAGTTATTTTCTTGTGTATTTTTGCATCTTTATCTGTCAGGGACTTGGCATCTAGTTCTCTTTTCTAGTAGTCTCTTTTGTGGCTTTGGTAGTGGGTAATGCTGGCCTCATAGAATGAGTTTGAAAGTGTTCCTTCTTCTTCAATTTGTTTGGAAGAGTTTAATAAGGATTGGTCTTAATTCTTTTTAAAATAATTACTGGAAGTCACAAATGAAACCTTCCAGTCCTGAGCTTTTCATTGTTGGGAGGTCATGATTACTGATTCAGTCTCCTTATTTCTTATTGATCTGTTAAGATTTTCTATTCATGATTCAGACTATCCATTTCTTCTAACTTATATAGTTTGTTGGTGTAAATTTTCATAGTTGCCTCATGATTTTTTAATGTCTGTGGCGGCAATTGTAAAATCTTTCATTCCTGATTTTGTTTATTGGCGTCTTCTTTCTTTTTTCTTCTTCTCTTTAATATGTAATACTTCATGAATTTGTGTGTCATCCTTGTGCAGCGGCTATACTAAACTTTTCTTTATCATTCCAGTTTTAGTCTATGTGCTGATCAAGTGAGGACTCTGACGTTTTTTCTTGGTTGATCTAGCTAAAGTTTTGTCAATTTTATCTTCTCAAAAAACTCTTACTTTCATTGATCTTTTCTATTGTCATTCTAGTTCTATTTGATTTATTTCAGATCTAATCTTTATTATTTCCTTCATTTTTGTAACTTTGGACTTAATTTGTTCTTTTTGTTCTAGTTTGTTGTTTTTCCTGGAGGTGTAAAATTAGGTTATTTATGTGAGATCTTTTTTTTTAATGTAGGCATTTGTCACTATGCAATTCCTCCTTAGAATTACATATGTTACATATTCTAAGTTTTAGTATGTTGTGTTTTCTTTTTAGTTTGTCTCAAGATATTTTCTAATTTCTCTTTTGATTTTTTTCTTCCACCCATTGGTTGCTCAAGAGTGAGTTATTTAATATCCATATATTTGTGAGTTTACCAGTTTTCCTCTTGCAGTTTACTTCTAGTTTCATACCCTTGTGGTCAGAAAAGATACTTGTGATGATTTCAATCTTCTTAAATTTTTAAAGGTTTATTTTGTGAACTAGCATGTGATCTACCCTGGAGAAAGTTTGATGTGTGCATGTGAAGAATGCATATTCTACTGCTGTTGGGCAGATGTTCTGTATATGCTGGTTAGGTCCATTTGTCTATTGTGCTGTTGAGGCCTGCTATTGCCTTAATGACCTTTTTGTCTAGATGTTATATCCATTACTGAAAGATATTGAAGTCTCTTATTATTATTGTATTGTCTCTTTCTCCCTTCAGTTCTGTCAAAATGTTTTGAATATTTAGATGTTCTGATGTTGGGTGCAAATATATTTTTAATTGTTATATCTTCATGGTGAATTGACCCTTTATCATTATATAATGTCCTTCTTTGTCTCTTGTGACAGTGTTGGACTCAAAGTCTATTTTGTCTGATATAAGTAATACCAGCCCTGTTTTCTTTCGATTCCCATTTGCATGGATATCTTTTTCCATCCCTTCAATTTCAGTCCATATGTATTTTCATATCTAAAGTGAGTCTCCTTAAACTGCATATAGTTGGATCTTGGGTTTTTTTTGTTCTTTTTTTAAGCCTTTCAGGTATTCTATGTCTTTGGTTTGGGGTGTTTAATCCATTTACATTTAAAGTAATTACTGACAGGGAATTCCTTGCTATTGCCGTTTTGTTAATCATTTTCTCTTTGCCTTATCATTTTTGTTTTGTTTTGTTTTTGGTGAGGAAGATTGGCCCGAGCTAACATCTGTTGCCAATCTTCTTTTTGCTTGAAGAAAATTGTTGCTGAGCTAACATCTGTAACAATCTTCATCTATTTTGTATGTGGGACGCTGCCACAGTATGGCTTGATGAGCAGTGTGTAGGTGTGCGCTGGGCATCCAAACCCAGGAACACTGGCTCGCCAAAGCGGAGTGCACAAACTTAACCACTACACCACTGGACTGGCCCACCTTATGGTTTTTTGTCCCTCTTTTTCTCTCCTGCTATTTTCCTTGTGTTCACTGATTTTTTTCTTTGTATTGATATGCTTTGATTTCTTTCTCTTTTTCTTTTGTGTAACTTCTATAGGTATTCTCTTTGTGGTTATAATGGGGTTTACATAAATCAGCTTATAGTTATAACAGTGTTTTAAGCTGATAACTGCTTAACTTCAATAACATAGAAAAACTCTATACTTTTCCTTCTTTCTTCCAATTTATGTTGTTGATGACACAATTCACATTGATTTATATCATATATCCATTAACATATTTTTATAGTTATAGTTATTTTTATAATATATTATAGTACTTATAGTATTTTAATTTTTATACTAAAATTAAAAGTGATTTATCTACCACCAATAAAGTATTACAGTATTCTGTATTTGATATATATTTACTTTTACTAGACAATTTTATACTTTTATATGCTTTTGTATGCTGTTTTTCAGGGTTTTTTTTTTCAATTTAGAATTCCCTTTAGCATTTCTTATAAGTCAAGTGTAATAGTGATGAACTCTCTCAGCTTTTGCTTGTCTGGGAAAGTCTTTGTATCTTCATTTTAGAAGTCCAGTTTTCCTGGGTATCGTGTTCTTCACTGGCAGTATTTTTCTTTCAGCCCTTTGAATACATTAGCCTTTCCATCCCTCCCCAGACTACAGTGTTTCTGGTGAGAATCCCTCCGATAGTCTTGAGGAGGTTCCCTGGTATGTGACATTTCACTTTTCTTCTTGCTTTCATAATTCTTCTTTGTCTTTGATGGTCATTTTATTATAATGTGTCTTGGTGTGGCCCTCTTTGAGTTCCACTTATTGGTAGCCATTGGTCTTCCCAAACCTAGATGTCTATTTCCTTACCCAGATTTGGGAAATTTGGGGCCATTATCTCTTTGAATAGCCTGCTACATCTTTCTCTATTGGTCCTTTTATGGTGTCCCATAAGTTGCTTTAGCTTTCTTCATTCTTTTTTATTCTTTTTCATTTTGCTCCTCTTACTAATTTCTAATAATTTGTCTTTGAGTTCACTGATCCTTTTTTGTACTTGATCTAGTCTTCTGTTCAACTCCTTTAGTGATTTTTCATTTCACTTATTATATTCTTCAACTTTATGATATCTGTTTGATACTATTTATTATTTTCTATCTCTGTTAAAATTCTCAGTTTGTTCATACATTGTTCTCTTGACCTTTTTGGGTACCATTATGATGGCTATTTTGAATTTTCTTTCAGGTAAATCTTATATCTCCATTTCATTACAGTCAATTTCTAGAGATTTATTGTGTTTTTTCGTTTAGAACATACTTCCTTTTTAAAAAAATTTCCTTGATTTTTTGTGTTTGTGTCTGCGCATTAGACAATACAGCCCCCTTTCTCAGTCTTCATGCACTAGTCTTGTGTAAGTTAATACCCACACACATCAGCCCAGTCAGAGATTCTAGGCAGCCTTTCAAACGTTCAAGTGAGTGGAAACTGCCATCATGTTCTCAGTGGCCCCTAAGCATCTAGAGTATGCTGGATTCCCATCAGTGCTGAGACTGTTGAAACAAAATCCAGTGCTTTATAAAATTGCCAGAAAAATAAGAGCATTGCATGTGTTGGTCCAATTTTTTTCCCTCCCTGGGAGAAGCTGGGACCTGTGGGGGTTTTTGCCTGCTTGCTTTGTGCTGAGCTGGGTGATGGGGTTGTGTCTTGTATTAGTTTGCTAGTTCAAACAGTAGTCTTTGTTCTCAGTGGCCCCCAAGGAATCAGAATACTCTTGTCTCAGATTTCTGAGACAAGTGAGACTAAAGTCAGTGCTTCAGGAAGCCCCCAACAAAATCAAAACTTTGGACCTATGGTTTTCTCTTTTCCTTTGTTCCCCAAGAAGAATCTGGGAGCTAAGAATTTCCTTCCAATAGTATGGTGCTACGCCAGGGGTAGGGCTTATGGAGAAAGATTGTCTCAAATATTCCTACCAGCTTTGATGTGTCTGGTTATGTGCTCACTCAGCATGCAGGAGCCTCCCAATTAGTTTCTAGATGTCTCACAAAGGAAACTATTTTATGTGTTATCACTAAATCAGCGTGTCCATCGGGGGAAGGAGATTTCAGGACTTCCTACTCCCTATCTTGCTGATGTCCCAAATTATATTTTATGCCTTAGATATTTTAAAGATCCATACAGGACATAGATGACAGACACAAATTAGGATAATTCAAGAATTCAATAAAGGGGCTATTTACAAAGCTATAGGTGAGTGAAAGTGCCGGGAATAGTGCTAAACCACAAGCTTAATAAGAAGGAGCTGTAGTTCCCTGCAGAGCAGAAGGAATGAGGAGAAGGCACGGTCACCAGAACCTGGGAAATGAGCAGAGTGGAGAAGGATAGAGGGTGTGGTAGGCTAAATAATGCTTTCCCCCCAAAAGATACCCACGACCTAAATCCTGGAATCTGCAGATGTTACCGTATCGGACAAAGGACTTTACAGATGAGATTAAGTTAAAAATCTTGAAATGGAGAAATTATCCTGCATGACAAGGTGAGAACTAAATGTTTTTAGATGCATTATTATAAAAGGGAGGCAAAGGGAGATTTGACACAAGCAGAAGAGAATACAGCCACGTGATCACAGAAGCAGAGATTGGAGTTGCGTAATGACAAACCAAAGAATGTTGGCAGCCACCAACATCTGAAAGAGGCAAAGAATGGATTCTCCTGTAGGGCTTCTGGAGGGCGTGTGGCCCTGTCAACCCTTTGTTTTGGCCCAGTGATACTGATTTCAGACTTCTGGCTTCCCAAATTGTGAGAGAATAAATTTCTGTTATTTTAAGTTCCCAAGTTTATGATAAATTTGTTATGTCACCTTCAGGAAACTAGTTGAGTAAAGGGAAGTGAAAATAGAGGATAAAAAGCACAAGGTCAGAGATATTGTGGAAACGTAATTGACTTTGGAACGAGAAAGATCTAATTTGAATTTCAGATTCCAAACCCATTATTTTTGCAACTTAGTTGTTAGCCAAATAGTGGTAATTTTCAAAAAACCAGTATTTCTTACAGTCTACAATGTGTCATGTTTCTTGTTTCAAGATGTTTCTAGCATTTTGGTAGTTACTAAATAGTAGCATCTATCATGCAGGATAATTAATAGAAGAAGGCAAAGTAGAAGAGATTGGCATGAGAATTATGGAAAGGGGAATTAAAACTATGTCATATGGAGAAGAATTGAGAGAAGTGGGACCATGTGTTACTAGGATCAGTGAGTACAAGCAACAAAACCCTTGTAAAAATCAATATATCCAAGTCTCTTATGGCACATAAGAGGGAATATTCTAGGAAAGTGAGCATGGCATTCAGGAAGATGTACCAGAAGGTCAGAACTAACAGAAATAGAAATAACTTCACCTGAGTGTTGAAACATAAGAGTTTAAAAGCATTTTAAAATCCTTTAATGGGGGCAAGAATTATTTCCTGATCCCAATGTAAGGCTGTGGTTAAAAAAAACGTGAATGCGCAGGGCAGGAGACGAGATGAACTACGGTACAGATCTGG